TGAAAATCAATGTTCTATCGAGTTTGATCCCTTTGGTTTTTCTGTGAAGGATCTTTGGACGATGAACCCTCATCTACGTTATAATAGTGTTGGTTCCCTTTACACTTTCCCATCCACTCTCCTGGATCAATCTCGTGCACCGTCTTCTCCATCATGTCCGACTTTCGTTGCTTCCGTCTCTTCTCATGTCTGGAATCAACGCCTTGGTCACCCCAATTCTTCTGTTTTATCTAGCTTAGTGTCAAATCACCGTCTTCCTGGTTCGGTGGTTTGTTCAAATAAATTTAGTCTGTGTCAGGCTTGTCAAATTGGGAAGCATCATAAGCTCCCTTTTAGTCTACTTCTGTTACTTTTAAAGCTTTTGATTTAATACTTACCAATGTTTGGACTTCTCCATGTCTTTCATTTAGTGGTTTCAAGTATTTTGTACTTTTTCTTGATGATTTCACTCATTATTTATGGGTGTATCCACTTAAAAATAAATATGAGGTACCTCAAAAATTTATTGACTTTTATACTCTTGTCCAAACTCAATTCAATGTCTCTATAAAAACTCTTCAATCTAACGGTGCAGCTGAATATGTTCACTCTCATTATCTTCAATATTTTCTCAAATCTAAGGGGATTGCCATGCGCATTTCTTGTCCATACACTCCTCAACAAAACGGCAAAGCTGAGCGTATGAATAAAACTCTCCTCAATATGGTCCGCACCCTTCTCAATCAATCTCACTTGCCAAATGAATTCTGGATAGAGGCCTTACATACTAGTGTTTATCTGTTAAACTGTTTACCTACCAAATCCAAGAATAATTCTGTTCACTTCTCCCTTCTTTTTCGTACTCTACCTAATTATGGTTTATTGAGGGTTTTGGGTGTTCTTGCTTTTTCAATCTATCTCATTTAACTTCTCATAAGCTCCAACCTCGATCCACTCCATGTATTTTCCTTGGTTATCCTGAGTCTTATAAAGGTTATCGTTGCTTTGATCCTGCTTCTAAGAAAATTTACACTTCCCGTCATGTTGTTTTTTTATGAAACCTCTTTCCCATTTTCTCAACTTTCTTCGGTTCCACCACTCTCCACTCACAACTCCCGTTTTAAACATCTTCGTTTCTTATTCTACGGTCCATTCCCTCTTCCTTGGTACCTTCACCTCCTCAACAAAAGGTGTCATATGTTCCTTTCCTACATTCAGATCCCACACCTCCTACTTCCTTGCCAACTCATGCGGGTCCTCCTTCTTTAAACCCTCCCACTCATCATATGGTCACCCGCACTTGGGATGGCACCCGTAAACCTAAACAGATCCTCTGCCTTACTACTACTACAACTTCTTCACTTCCTCATGAACCAAAATCCTTTACTGAAGCAAATAAATATCCTGAATGGCGTGCTGCTTTTAGTGATGAATATAATGCTCTCCTCAACAACAATACATGGGATTTAGTCCCTCCTCCTATTTGTGCTAACATTATTGGCTCAAAATGGATTTTTCGAGTTAAGCTCAAATCTGATAGTTCACTTGATTGATGTAAAGCACATTTGGTCGCTCAAGGATACAATCAGAAGCCTGGTATTGATTATGATCAAACGTTTAGTTTGGTGGTTAAATCAGTGACAATTCTGACTGTCTTAAGTATTGTTTCTTCTCGTAAATGGCCCGTCCATCAGTTGGATGTTGAAAATGCATTTCTACGTGGTCATATTAATAAAATTGTCTACATGAAACAACCTACTGGTTTGTTCATCCAGATCATCCTCACTATGTCTGTCGATTGAACAAAGCTCTTTATGGCTTAAAGCAGGCTCCCAGAGCTTAGTTTCACAGATTCACTGCTTTTCTGCTTTCTCAGAGTTTTAAAGGCAGTTGCTTAGACTCTTCTATGTTTGTATATTCTGCTGGATCAGATATGGCTATTTTGTTACTTTATGTTGATGATATTCTCTTAACACCATCCAGTAATCGTCTGCTTACCACTATTATGCAGCCGTTGAAGGGTACTTTTTCCATGACTGATCTTGGTCCAATCAGCTATTTTCTTGGCGTTTCTATTGCTCCTCACTCTGGTGGTTAGTTTTTACACCAACGTAAGTGTGCTGAGGAATTGCTGGCTCGCAGTCATCTCACTGATGCCAATCTTGTTGCTACTCTCCTTGCTCCCGCTTTTCAGTTTTCTGTTGACGAGTCTCCGCCTTTTCATAATCCAACTCTCTATCAGAACTTGGTGGGTGCCTTGTAGTACCTTCACCAGACTGGATATTCAATATGCAGTTAACCTTGTCTATCAGCGCACACATGATCCTCGAGAGCAGCATTTCAAGCTGTCAAACGCATTCTACGATACAGTAAAGGCACACTTCATTATGGTATTCATCTCCGAGTTGGTCCTTTTGATGGCCTGGTTACTTATTCTAATGTTGATTAGGCCGCGTGTCCCACTACTCGCCGTTCTACCACTGGTTTTTGTGTTTTCTTAGGCTTCTCTCTGATTTCCTGGTCCTCCAAGAAACAATCTACAGTTCCAGATCTTCTGCTGAGTCTAAGTATCGAGCGGTTGTTTCTGCTTTGGCTGAAACGGTTTGGTTAAAAAATCTTCCGTCATAACTTCATATCAAGCTTCCTCAGCGCCCAGTGATCTTGTGTGACAATGTCTATGCTACATACCTAGCTGCCAATCCTGTTAATCATGCCCGAACCAAACATATTGGTCTAGACATTCATTTTGTTCGTGAACGTGTAGCTGCTGGTCTTCTTCGAGTTCTTCATATCTCCACACAGTCTCAACTAGCAGATATTTTCACCAAATCCTTGTCTAAGGATAAATTTTATTCGTTTAGAACCAATCTGTGCATGATTTCCTCTCCTACTCCGATTGCTGAGGGATGATAGAATAGTCTCGGCCAGGGTTTTTGTAATAATGTACTATATATATGATGTTGTACACACATAATAATACACGAACATATTCTTTTAGCATGGTTACATCTGTCTTTGATTGCCATTCTTGATTAATTGATGTTGTAGAGTGCTCTCCACCTATCTCACTTTCTACTCACGTAAGCAGATGATCCATTTTTTGAAAATATGCTTGTAAAATTTAGCTTAATTCTTTTTGAGCCCTATTGTGGAGTACTGTGTGGGGTTGGTGTTGGTCTTGTCTTGTGTTTTTTTATTTGGTTGGTTCACATTGTTTTTCGTGTTTTATTCAGTTGATTCACATACTTGTATGAGAATACCAGTCTTATGTCCCTGTCGTCGTGGTTAGTTATACCAACAATGAAAAAATACTCTCTTCCTCTTCAAATAATCTGTCCTTGTGGTTAATTATATCTCAACGAAAGGTCATACAAAATTTAAATTAGATCCAAGTTAAGAGTCAGAATCCTAACAAAAATATAGCATAATCCAATAATAAAACGTTGATTTGTTAAAATTTAAGATGTTCCTCTAAATCAATACAATGAAAAGAGTATAACAAAATAGGAAGGTAGTCACGAACTTAATTCGCGATTCATTACTTAGTTCAAAAATCCGTCCTCACAGCAGATACTTATTCCAAGGGAACATGAATGACCGGCCTCAACTCTGGAGTTGTTTCTTCATATGGGTTGCTTGTTCAGACCCATGATTGAAGAGATACAGACTATATCCTTACCATCGAGGGTTTTATTATCGTTGGAGCCATCTAATTTTTTTTTTTCTTAAAAAATATATAGGCGTGAAAAATAGTTGGGGCATTAGTCATGAATGAAAGGAGGAGGATTGGATTTGGAGACTCGGAGTTCATGACTATGTTGTCTGTGATATAGAAAATTTACGTGCTCCCAATTAGTAAAATTATCCGACTTACAATATTAGCCTTCGTGCATGTATGATATTATTATCCATCAATAACTCTTCACGTTCCCTATCTACTCATGTATAGGGTCTGAAAATGTACATATCTATTTACATTTATTGCAAGTTGTTGCCACCATGTGGCAACTTCACAAAAACAATATTCCCGCCTAAACTCCAAAACCAATACTACATAGTTTTGGTTTAATAAGGAAAAGAAAACTCATAATTTTATGCCTAATCTTAAAGTTACCGTAGAGTAATTTGATTTGGTGAATCAATTATTATTTTCTCAAATTTAATTTTCTAATAATTAGATTCAAAGAAAAAAATATCATCAACAATAAAATACTTTTTTTTTTTCCATAGATACATATACTGCTCTTAAATAACGTCCTACTAAACAGTGCCCGAGCAACGGCCTGACCTGACGATTTAGTGACATTTAAAAGTTTACAAATCATCATTCACATAATTCACCAGCAAAATTATGATATAATTCTCAAATGATGGATAATAAAATTTCTTGTAGTAGTGACACATGTATTTATATTTTATATGTGATATAAAGCCAGGCGCTAGCAATTCTTTAATTAATTAATGTAAAATGTTTATGGTTTTTTTTTGGGGAGTGCCTCTTATACCAAAATTAATCCTCTTCCCAGAGGAGTCCGTATCCAATGCACTCGGGTATACCATATACCCTCACCAAACACACGCGTTACATGCGCTCAACATTTTCACATTAAATGCTGGTTATCCACCCATTTCATAATGGTTATTCTATGATGTTATCCTGCTTATCCAATATTTCTTTGCTGATTATCCAATGCTCTGTATTGATTATCCAGGACTTTTGTACTGGTTATCCAACCAATGTGTAGCAATATCCAACCGTTTGTAATGGTTATCCAGGATCTTTGTACCAGTTATCCAACTTGTTACACCTGATTATCCGAATGTTTTATAGTAATTATCCAGTAAAAAAAATACAAGTACAGTCTTTAACCTGATTATCCATGAGTTTATACTTGTTATCCAAAACCTCAATACTGCTTATCCATATATAACCAATGCCTATCCACCATGTGGACATAACAAAACAAGGATTCAGAGAGGGCTTCCAAAAAGACATAACAAAAGAAAATATCCATAAGAAAATGGCTATCCAAATGGCATGTTCATTGGGGGGCTTCGCCCCTTATGATAAACTAAACGACTCCCGCGGCTACCGGAATCGCAAGTCATCAACCTGCCCCGGCTGCGCCGCCCTGCCGAATACGCCAATGTAGCTAAGGTAATCCTTTTTTTGTGTGTGTGTAAGGAGAGTGTGTGTGTAAGGAGAGTGTGTTATTGCGTTAAGAGGGGACACAAATTACTTGTATAAATCCCTCCGCGATAAACTAAACGACCCGACTGCGCCGGTGCCCGCGGCTACACCGCCTTTCGCGGCTGTGCCGCCCCCATGCCGAACATGGCAAATTTCATAAATAGTATTTGATTGAATGAGGGGAAGTTTGCCAAATAATGGAGAACAAAAAATGAATGAGGGGCAGCTGGATAACCAGTGTAAAAAATACGGACAAGGATATCCAAGAAAAATATAAAAGGAAAAAAATGAAATTTGGCAACTGGTTATCCAGCTGTGTGTAACTGGTTATCCATAATGTGCACACTGGTTATCCACTATGTCCATACTGGTTATCTAACAGGTTAATAATGGTTATCAAGCTGTGTGTAACTGGTTATCCATAGTGCCAACACTGGTTATCCACATGGTGAACACTGGTTGTCCATAGTGTAGAAGGGGAATTTATATATGCCGCGTTTTTTTTTTAAAAAAAGAAAGATGAATTATCTAGCGAACTCACGCTATTCTAAGAGAGTAAAGTACACGCGCAAGGGAGTACACGGTGCCCCGGGTGTACCAGATAATTTGCCTCCCAGGAGCATATTCTATTACTCTTCGCGTTTTTTTTTGGTTCCATAAATAATTTGGACTCCGCTAGGGAGTTTCAGGACTTAATAGATGAATCTGAAGTAAATTGAAGGATTGGAGCTGTTATTTTTCACTATTTCAAACGTAATTAATTTTTCACCAATATAAAGGGCAAATCAGACAACTGAACAATGAAAGCGCCGGACCTCCTCCAAGTACAGCCACCGGCTCCAGATTTCCTTCCGGGAAGAGAATGACGACAATGAAGGGGGAAGAGAAAGAGAAGGACCAGCTGGCGGAATCTCTTAACGATCTCTTCGTTAATGTGTCGACCTTGGTTAAGGGCGAACTTCAGGTACACTACTAAAAGAAAAAGTAGCTTGGATTGTGTAATTTTGTACTGCTCCATGATCATTGAGTGTTTACTTTGTCTCAATTTTCTTTGTTTGAGCCTTTTGTCGAGGGAAAAAAAACTACCTTGATTATTTTTTTCTGTGATTCTTATTTGTATCTGATAGTAAATTTTCTTTTCAATCATTATTAGGTTTTTTGTTTTTTTTTTTTGTTTTTTTTGTTTTTGTTTTTTTTTGGGAGTTATGATTGAGCAACACCCGCCTGGGAGTTGAAGGAAATGGGTTTATATCACAGTGGTTAAGTTCTTCGGTTCTAAAAATTAGTTCATATTCAATGAGTTTTAAGCACCTCCTTAAAAAAATGTATGTTTGCTACTACTAGTTTAGACTTTAGAGGTGCTAGTCCCACTGAATTATATATTGTGGAAATAAATATGGGGTACATTGCTAGTGTACAGGGGAACTTGGAGAGATGAGTTGTTAAAAGTCCATAGTGAGGTACGAAGGGATGATACTTGTTCTTGAAGGTGTATGATTTAGTGGATTGCACTGTGAGGATCGATGCCTCGTGACGTAACAGGGCACTATGGGGCTTTATTGTAAGATTTTGGTGATTGTTCTCCAGCAAAGGACTAGGGGAGTCATGAGTCATGACTGTTCGGACGGAAATTAGAAGGGCTATGGTAATAGGCGCTTCACTTTGAGATAATCATTCCATGGGTGTCTCTTCCCGTACTTTTTCTTTCAGTCTTCTCTGCCTAGGTTTCCTGTGGACCTTCACTGGACTGTTACCACAGTTACATGTGCATATTTCGATTTTAGCCTTGTAGTAAATCTATCACATAGTTTTTAGTTGGGATAGTAGAATAAAGAGAACTGATAACTCTTCAGTCATCAAGCTAGGAGTATTTCGAAGTCTGCTATGAAGTTTAGGCTACTAATTTCTTGTGGTTTAATTACACTCTAAAACACTTTGTGTTCCTGGTCTTTGCAAGCTCCTTTAGGACCTTTCGGTGGACAATAGTTTTAGTTGTGGTCTACTTAAAGACATACAGCATGTCCATAGCAGCCATTATTCAGAGAAATTTGGCTTGTTAACTGATGTTATACCTCCAATTGAAGAAATGAAAATGCTGATTCGTTCTGATTAGGCTTTCATCCTATGAATTTAACAGTCTGTCTCAAGACAATGGAATCATTCCGTCTTCAAGCTATTAAGCTAAAGATAGTTGCTCACAGTTGAATTTAAGCTTGTATAAATGAAGAAGGAAGTAATCCAACCCTTTAAATCTTATAAGAAGAATAAGCTTTGCCAGTTAGAGATAGGATTAGTGTTGGTTTCTTACTTTCTTTGTTTAGGTATCTGAAACATGACCATGCTTGAACAAATGACAATTTAAGGATCAGGATTCATTCACAAAAGATGCCGTTGGAGTAACTCCTCAGATTTGTATATATCAAACCTTGTAGTGGTTTATGAAGTTATGCACCTCCTAATTCTTCTCGTCGTTTATCCTAGTTGACTGAATATAAAGCAGATAGATGGACTAATTAAGTTCTCCTCTCTTCGCTATGATTGCTTGCCTCAGGGAACAAACAATCTGCTTGAACTTTTGGAGAAAATGAATTTAAGAGTGGCGGAAGAGTACAAAGGTTTTGGAGACGTGGCTTCTGGATTAAGAGTTTTCATGGAGCAACTCAAGTCAAAAAGCGGAGGTTTTGATGAATATGTTCAGCAGATTGATTCAATAGAGCGCCAAATAACTGATTTTGAAGCTGTAATCATAATGCTTGATAAATATGTTTCTTTGTTAGAATCAAAAGTATCATCTGTGTATCAAACCCCACCACCATGAAACTGCATCTCTTCGTTTGCGTAGAATTCTTATATTCTGTATTTTTATTTTTATCTTAATCTCCAATGAGCAAAACCAATTCGAATGAGATTCAGCATTTGCTCTAGGACGTCATGATGGCCAAACATAATGGTGCAGCTGCATCTGTTTTGTATTACACTTTCGTTATAAAACGTAAAGCAGTTTGTATAAAACGTGCACTAAGAAAGCAACATTGGTTACAGAATGTACAATTAGAAAGTAAACCGGACAAAACCAGCGCATACTTACTAATGGAACAATTACAATGTACAATGCTGGAGAGGATTTTCTCTCTTTCTCTGTTGACTCGCTAAATCAAGAGGACAATCTCATCCCAAAAATAACAGATACATGTGCAGCACGTACTAATCGAACTCTTCGACTGGAAATTGTCCTGTGCGCTACAAGATGATTAGATGTTCAGAACACATCTAAGAAGTAAGAAGTATCAAACAGAAGTGGTGGGGAATTCCCTGGAGAAAGTGTATTACTAGCCTCTGTACTTCGCTCAATCTATTAAGACCATCATTCAACTGAAAATCTGCAACTACTGTGTTGGTTGCCTCTCTAAAGAGAAGAATCTTTACATCAACACAGGTCTCCTAACTTTTAGATTGGCTGGATTTGGGACTTGTGACATACAATTAACACGGCTTCATTAAATTCAAAATCTAAATAAACCAAAAACAAGCATAGTCCCTGTTATAGTTTACCGCCATCACTTCTTGATGAGTTTCACAGCTCCCGTCAACAGCCACAAAGATGATTTCAAACATGTAACTTCCCATCATCATTCTTCAGAAGATTCATAGTGCCAAAAGAACAGGTTCAATTAGTGAAGCTAATATCCATACCGATCATTCAAAGATGTGCGTCCATCGCCAGATTGCCCTTCAATTGAAGAAACAGTTAGTGCCAAAACACAAAGGAGAAAAAGCTAACCAAAATAAATAAATTAAATAAACTTATACCTTCTGGAGGCACCCAGGAGTCACATTCAGGTTCGTTACTCAAGAATGACGGCCTCTCAGGACCGAGCACCTTTTTTTGCTGCTTATTGTTCCTTGCTTGCTTATTGTTGGGTACATTTTCTGTGGGCAGCTCCACCTCATCAGATGCATGGTATCCTTGGGAGTGCTTCAACAGCAAAGCAATAGTGTCTTCAACCTTTAGTTGGGCATCCTCAGATTTCTCTGAGTCTTTGGAATTACTGGTGTCAACATTCTGAACTTGCTTCTGCTTCCGCTTCCGGATAATAAGACCTGGGGCTGCATTTTCAATTCCCGAGGTGCCATCTGTGACATCAGCATCTTTAAGTACTTCCTTTCTATCTTTGTAATCCACAAAATTATCATCTTCTTCAATATCTACTGGAGCAACTTCTGTTTTTTCTTGCATTTTCATATCCTCAACGGCACCAAGCCACTGAGGTTTGACAATAGTATGTACAATAGTCGAATCATCTACCGCATCAGCAACTATTTCACTCCCTTGTACCTTCAGGCTAGATTCTGCAGTTCCATTGGCAGTGCTCGGTTTGGCAGCCGGGTTCTTGGGTTTACTTTCGCCTGATTTGTTCAGTGAATGCTCCAATCTGCTGTCCTGACTCTTTACTGATGGGTGCTGTTTGAGGGTGTCATGAGCAGCAATTTTGGGTATTAGTTCCTGAGCTTTAGAATCTCTCCTTTTCGCAGCGGCTTCTCCAGTGGGATCGGCAATCTTTAGCAAATATAACACCCTATCTAGTTCTGACTGTAGAGAGGTCAATTCCTTCTGAAGCTTCTCTTTATTGTCAATAACTGCAATCATGTAGAGAAATTAGCACAATGAAAAGGGAACTGCTTTCCATATTAACTAACAAGTTTTCCGAACTAAATAAAGCCAAATTAAGATAATGTAAGTAAAAATAAATTTGGTTGCCCCCAACACTCACGTTAGGGAAAAACTCCCAAACAACACGACTTAAGGAATAGCATTCACCAAGATCCAAATAATTTTAAGTACTTCACAAATTAATATTTGTTTATGCACTAGGTAGCATCCTTTTTTTTTGTGTGTGTGTGGGAGAAAAGCATCTTTCAAACTAAAACTATCTCCATCATATCTCACAACTATGTGGCAAGTTATAATTGCAAACCACTGATATTAACAAGGTTGTTCATGAAAAAAAAAAAAGAGAAGCGAACCAAGCTTCATTACATTTAGCAATTAAAATTTCAAGGTTCGACCAGTTTCCCAGAGGGGCAGACAGAATCCCCAACTTCAACCCTGACACAAATTCCACCTTAACCTTTCAGCACGATAGACAACGAACTAAAAAAGGCTGGCAGAAGAGCTATCATAGTGACAAAACTTCATTATCACATCAACACACATTAAAAAAAAGAGGCAGTCCACTGATACCAGCCACCAAAAATGAACCAACATGAGAACTTTCACAACCCCATGGTAGTCACATAAAGAAACAAGCAGAAAAAGAAAAAAAACAAATGATAGCAACGGAGAAAGAAGATGAGACAATACAAAGGAGAGCCAGAAACAAATACAGGGTAAGGCTGAAAGTGCAAGAGGAATATGTAAAAGTAAAAATAGAAGCAAAGAGGCTTTCAAAAATGGATAATTTAAAATCAAATGAGGAACATAAATGCCTAGAAAACAATTGCACTTACCAAGCTGAGACGACACACTAGACATATATGCATCAAGTGCATCTCCTTCTCCCGAAGCTTCATTTGGTTGCACCCTTTCATCTTCATCCAGAAGCAACTTTCTCTTGTTTTCCATCTCTTTAAGAATATCTTCTTTCTTCCCAAGAAGAGAATCAGCAGTCTCAACTGATTGACTCTCGTCACCCTTCTTTTTAGGTGGCTTCTTAGTACGATCATAGAAATCATCTTCGTCACTGTTAAATAAAAAATATTGGTAAGCAAACAGCATGATTAAACCATGTCAGCGTGAGAGTCATACTTCCACAATTCCTTTCTTTTCTAAGAATAAAAAATGCTACCTCTGCACTTGGGAGGAATTTGAGACATAAATTGGTGATTTGTATAATCTAGCGGATAAATAATTGCTTTCAAATTACAAAGGGTAATAACAATCCACTATCATTTACCTTTCATAATCTTCTTCTTCGTCTTCTGTGGCACCCCTTCTCTTACCACCACGGGTAGTCTTTCCAGCACGGGCACCAAGACTTTCCCGGATGCTTTCATTTAAGGTCTCCTCCAAGTTTTCAAGCTCTTCCATAATCTAGTAATATATTGTAGATACAATTAATCAGACCAAAAACACATCACAGAACAAATACGGATGCACTAAAATAAAAGCTGGTCAGGTTCTCAAAACCAAACAACTTTCTTAAATAAGAACCACCAACCAGAACTTAAGGTTTCATTTACACATCAGTTTCATACCTGTGATATTCGCTGTTCATTCCGAGCAATTTGGGTCTGCTGTCCTTGTGTTAAACCACCTTGAGCAATGTCTTTTGCCCGAATAGCATCAATCTCTTTCTTCATGTGAGCAATCTATTCACAATCAGGACAACCGTAAGGAATGAACATCTAAAAATGGCTCTTTAAGCAATGTGCTCTACCAACTACACAGCAGCAGGAACGACTGAAAAGGATGGGAAAAAGTTGAAAGAGCTAAATGAGATAATAAAAACTAGATTCTCATTGGAGGCACAAGCAGATGAAATTCAGCAAACAACAAACCCTTTCCCCACTAGGTGGAGTCGGCTATATAGATCTTATGTCATCATCGTGCTCTCTCGGTATATAAATCATCGGTCAAATATAAATATTTCAAATCATTTTTGATAGTTTCTTCCCCTATTTTCTTAGGTCTACCCCCTACCCTTCAAATTGGATTCTTGATTCCATAGTTTCTACCCTCCAAACTGGGGCCTCCACCGGTCTCCTACGCACATGCCCAAACCATCTTATGCGTATTTCTCTCATTTTCTTGTCCATCGGAGTTACCCCTGCTTCTTTTCAATACACTCATATCTAATCCTATCTAACCTAGTATGCCCACACATCCATCTTAATATTCTCATTTCCGGTACTTGCATTTTTTGTTCATTTCCATATTCAGAAGCCCAACACTCTGATTAGTAAAGCATCGCCGGTCAAATGACAGTTCGATAGAGCTTACATTTCAAACTCAATAATAATCCTCAAAACACTTTTTGTGGGACATCTTTGCAGGCATCAGTGACTAAGACGTTTTTATTTAGATAACACAGCAAAGCAAAAAAGTGGAAGCAAAGCAAGTTGGTGGGGCCACTTAGTCGAAAGAAGCAGTCGACAAGACTGCTCAAGAGAACCACTAAATGCAAAAATTTCTATGAAAACAACACAAAATACCAAACAGATATACCATATTTAGTGGCATGAAAAAATCAAGTTCCTGCATCACTCACCTTTTCCAGTCTTTTTATAACTTTTTCACGTGTCTTCTCCTGCTTCTCAGTAAGTTGACCTTTAAAAGTTTGCCAAGTAATCTCATCAACTTCATCCTAAACATATAAGAAACTAGCAATTGGTTAGGATACGTTATAGGAAAAACCTTTCAGTTGAGCAGCTCTTCAAAAATGAAAGGAGAAGTATCATTGACAAAGATAACACACGAAAACCCATTATATCCTTCATGAATAATACGGAGAACTGCAATCAAGAGTAATAAGATACACAGGATGCACACAGGATCATACTTCATAATCATGAGCGAAAGTTACGAAACGAAAAATTTTATCACTCTAAGGCACAGACAAGCCACCACCAAAAAAGCCATTCCACGTTTTATCAAAATCTATCAAACAGAGCAAAAGAACATATTCCATCCCTAGTGCTAAATGCTGCTCTGGAGCTTAGTTTTCACATGATTGTTCCATTGTTGAATAATAACTCGAAAATTCAGAAATGAAGTATCAGAAATAATAAGCCACTGAAAACAATGTTGACCATGGTCTAAGATAGAATTACACAATGTTTTCACATATAATAACAGGTCAAACCATCAAACTTTTTCCAAGAAATGTGGATATGATTATAAAGCTACACTAAGAGAATACAACAACAATGACAACAAGAACAATAGGACAAATAAAACTACACTTGTGAATACAAGATTGTCCATGCTAATTTTCTTCATAAGCAATTACAACATAGAGTTGATATTTTTATAGCAGAGAAGAGACTGCAAGGAAGGCTTTCCAAACCTCGTCTTCTTCAATAGCATCCTCACCCATACCCCATGATATACCATCGGCCATAGATGCTTCCTTTTTTGCTCGTAAAAGTGAGGCTTCCATATCTTTTCTCTCCTCTAGAATCATGGCACTTCGCATGCCCGTCAAGTCAGCTTCCTAAAATAGAAAGAGCACAATCAAATCACCAATCAATGGATATGCAACACCACCCAGAGAATAGTTCCACTCTCCTTTAAACATTGAGTTTCAGGAGTCTTGCATACAAGAATATGACCACACCTCAGGATCTATGCTTAACTGAAAAGCTAACATATGATGAAATAATGCAAGAGGTTATGGAAGAAGGAAAAAAACAGCAGTCTTACTGGGGGCATCAAGTCAGAGGGGCCTTGGAATATATATAACCGGGATGATCTGCAAGAGATGAACAAATAGCTACTTAGGAAAAGGCACCAAACAGTGCACTTTAACGTGTAAAAATGGAAGCAAACAACAAAATTTTGTACCATGAACTGCACAAAGGCTGAGTTCATTTACAGTATGAAGAAACAGAGAACGATGGTTCTAGAACTCATCATAATTTACATCATGGTTGGAGTAAGAAGTACTATAAAAGGTATGCTATTTACATTTTAAAAAATAATAATAATAATAAAAATACTACTCTTTTCAGCCTCTAAATCTTCATCTTCAGATCTGTTGCTAAAAATGTAAACCTTAGCAATAGAAGCAATACACTAATAGCAACAACTAGCCAGAAAGGGATCTTGTAAACATATTAAGAGGCGGAACCTTTATCTTATAATCAAGATAACCAATGGAATCAATCCACCCTCACCATTATAAATGTTAATTGGAACCACAAGAATAAAATAATCAGAGTACACCCCCATTACTAATACAATAGGCACGCATGTGGAAGTTATCATAATAGTTTCACCAACAAGAACTGAGAAATTATGGTCAAATAAAAAGTTGACATGGAATTTCAACAATGAGGTAGAAAAAGTACTCACTGGCCAAATCGTATAACGTCGCCAACATGCAACTCTATATAAGCCTTTTTCTTAACCTGATTAATGAAGAAAGAATCAATCAGAAAAACAGTAATAACAAACATCAGAACTAAAATGACGGAAGAGAATCATCACATGACCATATTCTTCTGCCCAATGCAGTTGTATGTTCAATCATGTTCGACAAAAACACCAAGTTCAAAATGCCAATGAATACCATGTAAGATGTTCAAAGATTCAACAATTTTAAGAGATGAAGGAATGTCAACTGAGAAGGAACAAACAGATGGCAATTTAAACTGGAGTTTAAACAAGCATGTACTTAATCAAACTAGCTAGAAATCACCGACAGTTTTAAATGAAATAGATAGCATGTATACCTGATTTTTGTTTATAGAGGTACCGTGAGTGCTGCCAAGATCATACAGATAAGCTTCTCCACTGCTCTTGAATTGGATAACTAGCAAAATGAGGAGCAAGATACCATCAATGCTAAACAATCACAAACCCAAAAAAACAGTGGGGAACTCATAATGAGCTACCTAGAGGTCCAACAATAAAGGATGCAAAATGACAAATGTGGGCATGTTTAGTAACAGCTTCAAGCCGAATGGTATATTGGATATGTTCCAAAATCCCCAGCCAAATCCATTTTTCCGAGAACATTAAAACTAAACATAAGATTTCATGACAAAATATTAGAAGCTCCAACTACAAAGGTGGTTCAGTTTGCTATGAATCTGTCTTTAAAAGAAAATGAGAGTTGACAAACCAAACTGACCATCCTAAATAAAGACATGGGTTGCAGAATTACACAAATCGTCTGGACAAGGGGAGGAATGTTTACCAGCATGAAATCGAGAGATTGTGGGATGCTCCAGCACAAAGTCACATAAATCCACACGCCCAAACATATATGCACCCTTTTCGTTTCTGAAAACCCAAATCACAATGCAAACGTCATTTTTTTTTTTTTTTGTCATCTTCTTGGAAGTAATGAGCAACTAAAACAAATAAATAATTCTAACTCAAAGATCAATAAAGGCCAAATAGAGATCTTCCAAAAAAAAAAAAAAAGAACAACCCACAATAAAGGTAAGCATCAATTACAGACGTCATCGTCCAGCTTAGTTACAAAAAGAACAACACTTTAAGCTTATATACATTTACAGAAGCAAGTATGCTTTATATGAAACCTATTGCAACTGCTTCCAATCGAATATCAAAAAGCATTAAAAGAAAGTAGAACTTGCTTACACTTCTAACTGGTCAATAACGGAGCCATCTTTGATAACTTCAAGAGAATATTGATGGCAAGGTGGCCCATTCCATGGCGGGATTGTATAAGGAACTGGAATATCATTAGAACCTTTTCTCACGCGGCTACTGTCTTTATCTTTGCTTGTGGAGCTAGAGCTCAAACTCTCTTTGGAATCAACATTCTCGGCAGGAGATACATCCAGTTCGGAAGATTCCGATTCAGAAGTGTCAGAGTGAGGAGGGGGTTCGCTTTTGGTTTCTGGAGGCCGGGGAATCGCAAATTTTGGAGGAGGAGGAGGAGGTGGCATAGAAGAGTGGCGTAATTCTGATGTCGCTGGGGCCGAAGTTGAAGGCTCTTCAGAGGTTTTGGGCTGAGGTTGGGGAGTGGTGGTGGTGGTGGTGGAGTTTCTCGGCGGCGGAGGACCCATTGTGGTGGTCATGTTTACCGGTGGAATCGAAACGATGTTTGAATTTGGGACAGGACGGTGGCAAAGAAGTAGAAATCAAGGTCGGCAAATTTCATCCAAATTGGGGGATTGCGAGAATAGCCCGACCCGGTTCCAGTAAATGCTCCGCTTAGACACTGGCGCCAACACCACCAAAAGAGACGTCTCCTAATTTTCAATTTTTATTTATTTTATATATCTCTCTCACATACTCCCTCACATTGTAAAAATTTTACTTCGATAATAATAAAAATAGCTGAGCAAAAATTCGGCATTGGTCCTCATAACACATATTGAGCATCATTGTAAGTGATTTTAAAAGGGTGTAATAAATTAATTCTATTGATCTATTAAAATAAATTAACATTTAATTTATGAAATTAATTTATATTTAATTTATTATTAAAATAAATAAACAGATAACTAGAAAAGATGAATTTACAAAGGAACCACTTTAATATTTCCTACTCAGTGGATCTGGGCCTGCGAGAAGAAAATTTTGAGAGTGAAGCCCAAAGTTAAGTCCTATGTAGTACGTATATACAAAAGACTATACAACAGTGGTACAAAAATTGTAAACTGGTCAAACCGGAAAGATCAACCAGAAAAGCATACAGCTACAATGCTACACTTTACAACAGGTTAACTACTGTTCCTCACTGCCTTGAGAGGCTAGGGATGTATGTACTCTTCTTGCCATCATGTGGTTTCTCCAGGCCTCCTCGAACAAGTCTAGCACCTACGTGCTTCTGGAGAGTGATCCATGGCTTGCACGCCATTGGCGCGTGCAAGCTCTTTTCGCTGAAACATGGCACCAGCGCAGCCACGCTATTTTGTTCATCAAACAGGAAAAGTATACATACTCGGAAGTCTTACGGGATTGCTTTTGATATTTTACTAAAGCTTGTAAGCTTCCGCACCATCTCTCCACGAACATTTCAGCTGTTGCAACTCCTGGATAAACTCCGGATGAGAGGATCTTCTGGAACTTGCCAGATGATGTTATTACACACATACTCATATTTACAACCCAGAGTTAGCTCGATAATCTTGCATCTCAGTCAACTGGGGTATCCTTTAACCACCATTCTTGTTGACGGCATGAGTGGCCAATTGAAATTCTAGTGCCACTGAAATGCAGGAAATGTACCTCCGGAAATGTTTTAGTTAAAGAAATATGGGGATTCCAAAACATTTTTAAGGTCGAAGTCACCCCGTTCCGGCAGAGCCGGAAAAGACAATGATGGAAAGCTCTTCTGAAAGCTCTCTAACAACTGTTTTACAAAAAAGAGGATTCAGAGTAAACAAAAAAGAGAAAAAGATTAGGATTCAGTTCAATTGCAAGTATATAGAAACTAGGCAATGACAAAGTTTTGTTGTTCAGATGTTAACCATAATGGAAATTAAAGCAATCATTTGAGAAATTTCCTAGTCATTCTAATCAAGTGTCCAGCAGCTGGATTACTCATAGCAGTAAAGAGAATCAGATATTCAGGCATACAACAGATTCAAGCAGGGCTGCTCAGACAATGTTAAGCTGATTATTATCCCAAAAAGTGTGAATCAGTAGTAATTAAGGTTAAATGAATAAAGTAAATACACTTACATTTTCAAGAATCGGTGCTTCATAGAGTTCAACAAACTTTTCCCTCAATATCCTGTTCATTACGTCAACATCACATGCATGTGTCCAGTAAGAATCGTGAACACCTGTATCATTCACAAATGAAATTCAGAGGTACACGTGCCAAATTACAGAAGCAACAACACAAGGAGGGTAGGAAAAGTACCTGCAAAATTCAAGCCTGCCTTTCGGCATGCCACGGCAGTCATCATCATATGAGAACCATCCAGAGAATGGACAAAATTAGGTGGAAAAGCGGTTCTTTGCCTCTTCACCATGACCTGTACCAGATAAACCAACAAAGCGTTTGCTGAAAAATAATAAGGTGACATTCAAAATCCAAAACAACAAAGGATATGATAAAGAGGGGGAACGAAAAGAAAAAGAAAAGAAGACCACGTAAAGAAAGTTGAGCGCCTTAAAGTTTTTCTCCACATTACAAGATTTGACCCAATAAGTAAACTTTGAATGAATCAGAAATGGTGAGACATAGAAAGTCCATCATGCAAACAACTCAGGAGTTAGACTCAAGCAGAAGCATACCTTCTCAGTGTCTCGCTGCAGTGTCAGCACCTGGAGAGAAGTCTTAACCTGCATTTGGATGGAAGTTAGGTTGTCGGTGATAAAACACATATCCAAAGCACTATGCTCCTAAAGAGAAGGGGAAAAAATTAAGTTTGACTTCAAGAAGGATCTTGGATAACACTTACAAGATGCCTTCCTATTTTATGGTAAGGCTGCACGACAGGAAGACCAAGCGGAGTTGTCCACTTCACGGAATGGTTTTCAGATGCAATAACCTGTCAGGGTTTTTATGTCAATAGAGAGGAAAATACTCATCAGCGCGAAACTATTGAGCTAGAAAAGCATATGATACAATGAAACAGCTCCTGATGGTTTTATAGGAAAAGCAACTAAATGAGACATAGGTGATACACTTTCAAAAAAAAAAAAAAAAAGACATAGGTAATAGAAGAAATCTACTAACAACATCAACACAACGTCAAAGTAGCTTTTCATGATAACAATACTAATGAAATGGACAATTCGGCTGAAGGTCGACTCATGAAACAAACATCAGATTGGATATCAAACGATCATGCCAAGAATTTTTTTACTTCATGTTTAAAACTTCTTTGACACAGTTCATGGAGATTATAACACCTAATCACTACCAAGTACCAACAGCATCAAAATCAACCAAGAAATCCAGAAGAAGACTCTTTCACACAAATACTCATCAATAATCCCATGGAATTAATACTATGAGGCACAAACCTTTGCACAATCTCCAAGCCAGCCCATGATACTTCGTGCAGCTTCAAACATCTCACCCAGAGCAGTCAATGTGGTCTACCATTGCAACAAAAGGGAAAAATGCCATCACTAAGAAGACAAAAGCTAGATACAGCAATTAATTGTATAATATTCAGTATTCACTTTCAATTATGATACAGTTCGTTTTCTTCAAGTAAATATGGTTATCTCAATGAGTACTATCTAGAGACAGAATACTCTTTGTTCCTTTTTATTGGTTCAATTGTATTTAAACATGTTTGGTAAAAGGCAGTACGAATGTTTATGACCATAGAGTAATGCCCTTACTTTTGCAGCATAACAAGCTGCACCAAAAAGCTCTGCGTCATCCGCAAAGGCACCACGTTCCTTCAATCTCCTCTTAATCTGATCACGTGCACCAATATATGTAACACCATACACTGACGTCATCACAGTTTGCTTGACTAGTTTCCTGTCAACCTGAATTAAGTCCAGAATCCAGATAGTCAGCATTTTGCAGCAATACTAAGAGCATGTGTATGCAAACCTACCACTGATAATTCAGAAGATAAAAGGTAAATGCCTGAAAGCAGAATATTCTCATCTAACTTCTTAAACGACGGAACCCAAAATGTTTTAAAGAGAGAACATGCAAGACAGGGTGCATCAGCCACTCATTACAACCACCGTGAATGTAATTGACAAATGTAGCTCAAAAAGCCATAGGAACAGCAGCATGCATGTCAGCAAACTGAATTTCAGTAAGGTGGTAAAACAGTTGCAGAACCTGGTTGATTAAAACCCTAGCCCGCAAAGCATCTGGAAAAGCTTCAGGGTCTTTCTGTGCATCACGCTTCATGATGTCCAAAACTCTGCATGTAAAAGAAAAATTATGTTCTATAATGATTTACAAGAAAAAGGTATTCAGAAATTCTTCTCAAATATTGCATCATTCAGAACAAGATATGGACTATACATATGAAAGCTTTCACATTGCAACTCTTTTGGGTTTCAAAAAATGATATGCATAAGCTGCAATTCTACATACTACTTCTGACTGCTGGACTTCAAAGCCGCATATATAAATGAAAATTTTCTGAGCCTAAGCCCCAAGTCCTCTTTAAGAATCTAGCAAGCTAACTCATGCAATTGGAAGCATTTAGAAATAATAGAGCTATTTGCTCCAAGAGATGAATGAAGATTTAAAAAGGAAGCAACCTGGGAAGAAAAAGGTTTTAAATTTTGGTAGAGTCCGTAGCATTGTCTGAGATGTTTGCAAACACTTTGATTCATGTAAACTGATAAAGGCTACATTAGAAGGGTCAACTATATAAAGGAATTTTACTCCTGAAATAGAAATCATTTGTTTTCCAAATAAAATTTTCAGCGTTACTAGAGCAAGCCCCAAAAAAATAATAATATAGATAGTAATCAACATTGTTTTTCCTTCTTGATTTGACAATCAGAAGCTTTGTTTTTACACCAGAAAGTGGTTCTTTGTCTGTTCAAGAAAGACATGGGAGAGCCAAACATAATCAAGGACAAACATATTCCACTGTCATAACAACATTAGAAGGGTCAATATGCACTATACAGCAAGGCATCCCTAATGCGAAAATCTTATAAAACAAAGTGAAGCAGCTTACCTAGAAGCTATTCCGGAGTAAACATCAGCAGGTTTTTCCCCAGCAACCAAATTCACAGCAGCTGCTCCCAACTACATAAAGGATTACGGCAACAAAAACAGAAGACACAAAATTAGGATGAAGTGCATACAGAAGCTTCAAGGGACGATCAAAGATCTCAAATTTATCAGAAACTTCTTTAAGCGTATGTCATTTGGTGGTTAATTATGCTTCCCCTTTGTTCTGACACTATCCTCAGTCATAGCTAGGTTTCAGAATGTTCCTCAAAGTAGATCTTTTGAGGGGGTTTAAAAGCATCACTTTAACTGAGCTGTGAAAATGAATGGAGGGCGATTCAGAAACCAATGCTGAGGGAACAATACCGTATCTCTTCCAAGAGCAGCATAGTGCTGTAAACCGTTGCAGGAACCATCCTAAATAGGGAAACACAAAAATAGAAAATGAGAGTAGATTTATAAAAGCTAGTCATATAGTAGTCATTACTAAAATCTCAAGTCATAAAGAAATAAACACATAGGGCTGATGTTGATATTTGGAACGGGAAAGAAGGACTTGGCAATCAAAGTGTAAAAAGCCAAGCATCAACATAGTTTCTTCTAACAAGCAAAAGTATAACCCTAGGAAAATCAAGTACAAACATCAAAGACCTAAGAGCCCTAGCTTAGTTCTTCATTCAACCTTCGGCTGAAACAATTATCAAAATTTCCAAGTTAAACATGAGGTCTGTCGCAGAAACTATCGGATCATCATCATTTGTTGGAAGAGGCTATTATGAGTACATCTATGCTGTTTAATAACTTTCATTTGAACATGATTCTTAGTTAGTAATAACAGAAGGATGAATAATCAAACCAGGAATTACAAAGTTCCAAGCGAAATAGTTAACCTGGTGAACCGGAATATAAGAGATGGTAGTCTCAGGACATGGGCTTCTCAAAGCTTCTGAAAGATTAAAGCATGCGGCCAAGAACTGGAATGGATCTTCAGCATTCAACCACCAACGCTTTCCTTCAAGTGGCCTGTCAGCTGAATCAAATATATCGTCCAGGTGATTTTCAGTAAAGGCTAGTCTTGCCTCAAGAGAGAATTTATCAACACCATTAGCAAATAAATTGGCCAAGTGAATCTTCAGCCACCTCAGGCCTGACTTTCCAAGCGGACGTCCCTCTGCGAATTCCAGCAAACCTCTACAGATATCCGATCCAAGATGATTTAAGTGGGGATGCATGGGATATGCACGGCCCCGGAAATCAAGGTTGTGAGGATAGAAAAAACCAGCTTCATCTTTCATCTTCCGTGCCACCTATTCCGAAGCAAACATGAGGGCAAATATGCCTGTTATTTTTTGAAAAATAAGACACTACTGGAAACAAAAAACACCTGTACATACAGCAAGTTTCAGCTCTGTATCGCAACGCTGGGAATGTCTTTCACTGTTTTCCTTTTTCACGGAATTAACTTTCCATTTCCACTTCTTAAGTAGAGCTTCATCCTCCGTTTCTGGTTGTTCAGGCAAAGGGATCTACATGAAACAGAACAAAAAGAATGATAAGTTTCGATAGTTTCTGCAAATCCAACAAAATTCTGATTCTCAGAAGAAATCGAATAGTTAAGCTACCCACATCATTGCAGTCAACCAAGTCAGCAAGACGGCCTCCGCCGGCCCATATTCTATCAACCACATTGAGTACTCTTTTGTTGATCCTCCATTTGATGCTTCCAAGTGTATTCAAAGCCTAGTCCAGGAAAGGGACAACATTACAGGTATCGTACTATATGATCTTAAGACCACTACTTCAATTTTAAAATAGTATTTGTTAAAGGTCACCAGAGGGTTCACCGAGAAAAAAGGTCACCAGAGAAAAGAGATCTACTAAAAGCAGAATCCAACATGGAAATTACATACTGGTATACCTCATAAACTGGTTGCATTTGCTTAAAAGGTGTCTTCTTGACTGCTTCACGTTGATGTCTTGCACCATGTGTACGCATCACATATGAAGGAAGATAGAGATGTCCTCCTTTGTCGTATCTATAAAGGACAAAAGATCCGTCAGCAAAAGGAAAAAACTAAGGAGAAAATCAATTTAAAACTCCATTTTCCAAAGGATGCAAATATGCAATAATGCTTGCTATATATTTAGCTAAAGAAAAAGGAATGGGAACCAAGTAAAATCTGTACCCTGTCCACTTCACTGGAGGCACCAACATTGGCATGTAAGGCACAACCATGTGCCTCGCCTGTTCACAAACATACCAAATCTCAGTCCACAAAATATACGCAGGAAATAAAAAGAATCTAGACAACTCATATTGAACTTTCATCATTCTCTACATGGAAGTTCCATGACTATGTCCAGGTTCTCACATAATTGACTTAAGGGAATCATAATGAAGAACATAAACAAAAGGTGTTTTATACACTCACAGTTTTCTCAAGGCCTTTAAGGACTAGTGGATCACATTGGATGATGCCATATCTTCTGGTAGTAACCCTATTTCACAAGAAGCCCATATTCAATTTGAAGATGTAGCAAACAAGAGAAAACAAAACTTCCAAAGGATCGAAATTGTTACTTTGCTTCTTTTGCAACAATTTTAGTTGTATGTATAAATGCAGGCCTGATATCAGGTGGAAAATCAGCTAATTCATTAACCGGTGCCTGAATATATGCTGTTTGCAAAAGCAAATCAATAAGATGGCTTCCGACCTGTAGATAATAACAAACTGTACCTTTAAAACATTGTCAGATATACTTTTATCAACACTGTCAACAATAACTGATCTATAATTACCTTTGCTTTAGCATCAGTTCCCCAGGGCTTTGAATCTTCTTGAGTACTCACTATCTGCTGCACTGCCCTCAGTTTTTGTTTTTTCATCAAATTAGTAACGGTCCTCCTAATTTTCTCTTGTTCTTGGGCACCAGAAGTCACATCTGCTTCTGCTTGTTTGCCTTTACTGCCTTTTTTCTTCTTTGTTCTCTCCAGAAAATTGTGTATCCTAACCTGTATGGATCACAGATTTGATCAGCTCGAAATAATATCAAACCATAGCGAGGATCATCACTACTGGCATCCTTCAGAGAATGGTTCCGGCTGATAGAAGAAGAAATATACTTAAAAAATCTTGGCCACTATATAGCCGACCTACATCAATATTAAGCCTGCAGTAGGTCTTGTTTAGGAAGCATGTTACCAGCTATAATTAACATGCAAAAATTTCAACCAAAAATTAAAAAAAAAATAAAATTAATCCAAGTCCAGGCCTATAATGAAAACACTAACTCACATGGACCTGAAAGAAGACATGCAAAAATGGCTCTTTATCTCTCTGTTCATGAGCATTTGAAGGCATGATTCTAATCTATCATATGTCAGTTGAACACAATAAATTCAGGCATTTCAACTTTTCAGCTTATTTGGCATATTTATTTCTCTTTGGACTCAATCCACTGGAACGTGAGCAGCATGGTTTTTTTTTATATATTTTAATAATCTTCAAGAGTCCACACATCCTCAACCATCACCAAGGTAAAGTGAGGCCACCAAGCTGCATAGTATAAAACACAAAAATACTCTAAACAAAAAAGGCCAAACTTTCCACTCTATACCAAGAAGGTTCAAAGCTTGTGACCAAAGTTAATACACCACATTCATCCATCAACTTCTTAGAAGCTAATATGAAAGTAAATCAGTTGAAATGCCCGAAATTCATTTACTTGCTATAAAAAAAAAAAACATTACGAGTTTTTACTTGACACATATTCTCCGCACTATTTTAAGCTTAATTCAGTAACATCTGCAAAGCATGTTCTCAAGAGAAGACCTTCCATCTACCTACTGCTTCTACATAACACAATTCAGAAAAAAATAAAAAAGATGAACAAACTTTGAGAGGGAACTGAAAGCAAGCGGACAAGAATCAACAATCAACTAACCTCTTGTTCAATCGCATCACCTACAACACAAGCAGCTTGTATGACCCTAGCAGTACCACTCTGACCTCCAATCATCAATAACCCCATCAACTTATGCATGGTAATTACAGTCATCATTTCAGCCGGTAACAGATTAAAATACTTTGCATATGAAGCCTTGGCTTTTCCTGACTTAAATGACTCCTGCTCCTCAGCAATCCTATTACACAATGGCTCAAACCAACCCAGAAACAATGACTTCATATATGGCAAGTTCGGAGCCAGTTTATGCTCACACATATCATTTAGAAGCTCCTTGTATTCTGCAGCTGCTTGTTCCCAAGCCTCAGTCTCAATCTTCACTTGTCTCCTTTTGAGGGCTTGGAATTTCCTCCTCCCCATCCCATAAGCCGTTTTGAACTGCCTCTGCCGCTCAAGGGCAGCATTTTTCCTCTCTTCCTTTTGCATTTCAGACAGCATAATTTGAACCTCGTCAGCCACAGAACAAGCATCTTCATCCACGTCGGTTGATGAAACTGCAACCGCCTCAGCCACGCTGGCAAAGCTCTTCTGAGAGCACAACCCATTAATATTTACAGAATGCAAACTGGGCCGGACCGAGAACTCATCCCTGTTCGACAATTGGCCAGCTAACAAAAAGCTAGGTTCGTTGAACCCAGAACCCGTGTGAGAAGAATCCAGGTCAAAAGATCTAAACTTGAATTTCTCGGGATAAATGGAATTATGGGAAAATCCGAGGAAGCTGTAACTGCGAAGAGAGCGAGGATTAAGAGCTGAAGAAGAGGCTCGCTTGGCAATGGTTCTCCACATACCCGGAGAGGTATTTGGAGGCTTCAATCTTAACAAAAAGATCGAGTCTTTATAAATTGGAGTAGGGGGGGTGAAGTGATCAGGCTTGATATTCGCATAAATGGGGGATTTAGTGCAGGACATCAAAATTGGTAATGTGGGAAAATCGAATGAAGTGAGGAAGAATGATAATGGAGTAATTGGAGATGGAAGTTCATGTGATCAAAGAAAAGCAAAAACAGCCGCGACTTCGAGTGTCAGAGGTATCAAAACCCTCCTTAAACCTTTTGGTACTTGTTAAGATTTTTTTCTCTTTGTTTCGTTCATGTAATTCTGGGCAGCCCCTTCATCTTTCGCCTATTGGGCCTTTGGCAATGTTGGATGCCACACTGCCACGTTCCTTCATTCGTTTTCGGTTTTTTTTCCTTCTCCTTTTTTTTTTTTTTTTGTAAAAAAATTGTTAATGTAAAACATTTGTTTAAGTCAGAGACTCGAGATTATACTCTTCTCTTCTTGAAAGAAATATATTTGCATTTCCAATAATTTTAACCTCTAAATAAGACGACATTTGCAACCAATCTCTAAATTGAGTGTATAGAAGATAATAAACTACTCGCTAAAGGATGAGCTAATGCCTTATGACTATATGAGATTTGAAATTTCATTCGCAAACACTAAAAATTAGCGTTTAAGACCTGAGAATTGGGGAGATGACTCCAAAACCCTACCACAACTATATGGTGTTCGATTCTAATACTGTACCGTTCTCGTCAGATTTCGGATTTTGCTTCTCAAGTGCAAAGGATACACAAGGAATAAGCAAAATCTTCCATCTTGTCTCGATTTTGGGATTGCAATATAAAATATGACCCAAACGAATGCACTTAAACGTAAAATATATTGCCATAGTATCTAATCATTTCATATACTACAATATACTACATATAAACATACGATTAGACTTAACAAATGTCGAAACTGAAAGGAGTTTCGAGCAAATTTATATCATGATTGAGAATTGGCGGTTGGAATTTCAACTTCCGTGCGAGGTGGTCTTGCTTTCAGGTTCAGGTTGTGCATGTGGTCGTATCATTATCATTCACTCTCCTTGTGTAATTAGTAAGAGTCGGGACTCTTGGACCTATACCAACCAATGAAACGAAGTCAAAACTCAAGGCAAAACCAAAGCCGTTTTGTTCAATGAATTAGCAGCCAACAAAATAGCAACATTAACAGAGATAGAGAGGGGAAACATAGGAAAGTCAGTAAATAAGATAGATTCCTGTGGAAATAAAAGGCAAATCAATGTACTCGTTTAGAACCACCTAATAACGGGCTATTTCCTATATGCATAGACATCGACCTAAGTACAGATATAAAGTGAGTATTTTACAAAATTAACGGATATAGAAGAATAATACCATTCAGCATTGGCAACAACGGCCTTAACCCTTGAAGGTCATTTACAAACTTGAGTAGGTACTGTAGATGGCCGTTGTATTCAAGCTGAAAATCCATGCTACCAGCAACTTCTGGTCAGTAACGACTAACGAGTAACCTCCAAGGCTGCAACATGAGCAACATGCATCAATGTTCTCTGTATCCTAAAGATGAAGTCAAAGAGAGAAATAACTTCATAATCCAATTAAACTATTTCATTTCTCCACGTTGCTTTAGAGTTTAGGCATAGATTCTGCAGATAGCAAGCATGATTATTCTTTCAATCATAAGAAGCCTACATACTGCAGTTTGCAAGTTATTCTACATACACTACAAATAAGGCCAAGATCATTCATAAGTCCCATGGCTACCTTAACTGTACTCCTTCATATGGGGCTAATTCTATACATCTTTGAAAATAAAATACAAAACACGTGCACCAAAGCAATTTTTGGCATTTTTTTGCATAAAAATATAAGAGCAGGCTCATTCAAAAAAATAAATAAAGGAAACAAAAACAAAAGGGGGAAGAGAGAGAGAGAGAGAGAGAGAGACTCATTTCACCTTCAGAATATCAGAGTGCTTATTTTTGAGATTCTCCTTCCACCCCAATTGACTGGTTAGATGCACCAGAACAAAAGCCCAACTTCAACATGATCTCCTCCAACCGTTGTGCATTTGTCAAGTAAAGATAGCCAATCTACATTCAAAAGAACTACTTCAATCATACTCCATGTAACCACAAAATCTACCATAAAAGCTCACTCCAAAAACGACAACACTAGGTATGCTACATAAATTCAGGAGATACAATTAAAAAAAAATTACTGTCTCTTAATCACAAAGGGAATAATGCTAAGAGGTATTAAAAAGTGAAACCAGCACACTCTGTTAACAAGATAACAGACAAATGAACACTCCATCACTAATGCATATGCAACTAAATAGTAAAATACAGAGTTGGCAGAAAGAACTTGCAAGAGTTTCCAGTGAAGAAGCTCTGTTGTAAACAGCTACACCTGCACGTCTTTTAGTCCTTGTTTTTGCCGAACCAACATTCTTCCCCCAACGAAGCACATTCCTGCGAAAAATTACGATCACGTGCCAAAATTAGACAGCTACAGTCGTAACAAAGATGATACTTTGCACAAAATTCCAAAAATAAAACTAAAAATCAGCGAACGTAGTCCAACATTTGTGCAGCAAGTTGAGTGAAAATCCCAGGCAGGTAAAGTGCAATTTTGTTGTTAAAGGTAATCCCTTTATTATATCAAGGTTTCAAGCTTGTATGGTGTTCAAATTGTCTAGGGTAAAAGGATCTAACCGTGGATTTAACAAACCACAAATAAACAGCTCATTTAAGTTAACAAGAATATAAATTCCTAAAAAAGAAACAATTCCAGTGAAATTATTCTTCAGCCTTCTATTGCCGAAAAAGATATTCTGTTTACATGCGAGAGTTACACCGTTGGAAGTTGGCACACATATGAACTCCAGGAAAAAAAACTCCAAGAACCAATAATTTCAATACAAACCTTTCTTCTGCTGTCAAGAAATCATCACTAATTAGTTTTTGCAGCATCGCATCCTGAAACACCGGAGTACATCAGTAAACATGTAAACAAGTCAGTGCTGGGTTTATATTTGATTTTCTTCCAAAAGAGGAGAGAACTCCCATACTTGCATGACAACAACAAAATATGTTCACAACTGGTAAAAATACAGAAAAATAGAATAAGTTTTATTGATTAGAAATAAAATTTCAAATACTCTTTCGAGAGGAAAGATGAAGTATGCTTGGTGAACAAAAGGACTTACAATATAATTGCACAGTGAGTTTAACAGTAAAAAATGGCACATGGAAGAATTTACGTGCACTAACAAGACTTCTAATCCGCTCCGAGATAAAATCATCTACTTTATACAATACATTCAGAGCCGAGCGCTCAAGTATAGTCTAAATCACCATGCCAAAAACAAAGTAGGCAACTTTATATAGACTCTCTTATAAAATTGCTTTGAATATCATTACATCAAAAGAATTGGTAAAAATGTGACAACAAATGAATTTCAATGCTTACTTGGGCTTCACAGCGCACCACCGCCATCACACGATCATTGAACTCTTCAATACTCAAGGGAGGGAACAGAAAGTGCCTTCGAGCATACAACTGCATCAAATTCCAAGCACCACATGGGAACATATTAGTGGGCAGAAACAAACACAAAAACAGAAATGATATTACTTTGTGAACTGAATTTTCTTTTATCCCCTGTTCTTTTACCATTCAAATATCATTCCGAGTAAAAATAATTTTTTCGAAAATAGAAATGCAAGTGACTTTCAAGAATTGAGCACCTCAAAAATGCAGTCTCCAATATAAGCCAACGACGCCGCATTAAACACTGAACGAGGCTTCTCCACCTTGGGCGGACTAGGCATCCATCTCTCATACCCCAAATACGTCTTTTCCATCTCACCCAGAACCCCTACAGTAGTAACAGCACCCGAATTAGTATCCGTTAAAGAGATAAAACGGTTCAAGCTGAAAACTTAAGCGGTAACCGAATTACGGTAATTATTTTACCTCCGGCGAAGGCAGCTGTGGTCGGGGAAGGTCGTTTAAGGAGGTCGGACACGGAAATGTCAGAGGTGAGCACCGCCGGAGTCAAAATAGGTAGGGTTTTGCTCTGTAACTTGGACGACTTATCAGGATAGGTCCGGTGAGGGTTGTACGGAAGTCTCTGCCGCGTGTCCACTGATGAAGATACCGCCATTTTGGCCCTGGATTCCACCATAAGAGTGCTTGAAAGAGAAAACCTAGGCAGAGAAACAGCCATGGTTGATTTCTTTCAGTTCCCTTTGAGCAAGAACTTTAGAGTTCAGAGGGACGGAGCCAAGTAGTATGAACTGTGAAGTATCCACAAGCGTAACAGAATCGTCCGAAGGCGTGGACAGAAAAGACTTCAAAATTCGCGCTTTTAAGATTTTATGGTTCTCAAGGTCTCTTATGGATTCAAATACCAATTATGTACTCAAATTACCACCCTATCTGGACAAAAAGAATATTTAAAATGTAAAATAAAATAGTTTTTTTGTTTGGTTAAAAAAAAATAGTAACTTGCATCTTCTAATAAAAATAAATTCTCAAAAAAAAATAATAATAATAATAATTTTTGTTGAACATACATAACTTTCCCTCCCAAAAAAAAAGAAACATTTTCTTTTTAGGACAAGCATATGAGTGTATAAATACTTGTAGCTAAAGCCGCGATAAGTATTAGATAATACTACTTCTGTCCCAAAATTATTGTCCAGTTTAAGATTTCATTTTTAGTATAAATTGAACTAAAAATGAAAATCCAAAATGAATAATAATTATAGGACGGAGGGAGTAGTTTTTAGATACAACTAACAAAAACTAGTAGTGTGTAAATAGTTTCACGAACGATATAATTAACGATGTAAGCATAACACAAACGTGTAAACTGATATAATTAATGATGTAAGTATAACAAATACGTGTAAACTAATTTTGTGGCTGAAAAGGGTGATAGTTTATTCTACGTTGTACTTGTTTCTAAGGAATTCATTGGAGAAACTTTCCTCCTAGGAAAAGATTCAAAGAAACAATGTTTGCTTTTGTTGATTCTTAGCTTCGGTTGGATTATAGTTACTGTGGTAGTTAAAATGCTCCTTTTAGGGTAGAACCATTTCTTTTTTCTAGAGAAGCAAAGAAGTGGAATTTATACAATGTGTATGGAAAACTTCAAGTGCCCCGCTTCCCCTACACAGCACCCAAAAAACTTCTGCTACATTCTCCAGCCCACCAAAACTAGTTTTAAAAGGGCAAAAAGAAAGAAAATGAAGATGACAAATTAGCTAGCTACCCAAGTGTACAAGCCCCCAACCCATTTAATCCTGAAATCTCTTTCAAATCCAATTGTCTAAACAACTTTGGTAGGCAATCAAACAAACTGCACAACACGAGTTTCAATCGAAACACAGGCAACCTTTGTACTACTCATCCACTGTCAATCTCCACCTCCTTATCCATTGGGTAGCTCCCATATTGACATTTCCAGCAAAAATTGTACATGGAATCCATGCTAGCAACAACATCGAGGGCACATGGACCACTTCCGTGACCTAAATGTTGAGAGTGGCAGCTTTGGAGCTAAATCAAGCTTGCGTATGCATCTCCTATAGGACACGAAACACATATATCAAGGAGAGAACTAGAGAATCACCACCGAGCAGCTATTTTATATTTCGCAAAAGTTACACACAAGTGTCCGTTAGTGGCTGTATGTAATCTATTTCTATCTCTGTAGAGAGAACCAGATCACAGAATTAATGGTTGATGAGTCATTCACAGTGCCTCACATATAGAGTAACTAAAATAGTGCTACCACAGGAAACAAACCTAGAACGGAATTCACCAAAATCACTGGTATTTAGAAGCAGAAAGATTGCATGCATGAACCGGAATATCTTACCCTTGAGATAGCTTAACAGGTATAAAGCATATAACCTCAACTTTCTACAGTCCATGGAGCAAGATCGAAAGATGGCAAGCAATTAAGACTATATAGGGACTGAGACATTACTAAACAAACATTTAAAACTGACCTTTAATACAATTTCATACCTTTGCTCCTGCAGGCTTGAAACAGTCAATATTGCATAATACAGCTGACCTCATCATATCTCCAAAGCTGCCACCACCCGATTTAATAGTCAAGAAAGAAAGCTTTTGCATGTTTACTAAAATCCCAAACTTGAAAAAATTAAAAACAAAAATAAAATGAGGCACAAAACTAAATGCAAAGCTTAGCCAGCAAAGTTATTCCAACCGGTCAATACTGTTCCTAGCCTTTTCTGGTTGCTCTGCATGGCCGTTCACTTTTTCCGCATAATCCACACTTTTTCGAGTTCTTTCTTTCTTGTCGACACTTGATCTCGACTTATCCCTTAAATCTGAGACTGACCTAGGTTTCTCCCTCTGTTCGGTACTCAGTCTAGACTTTTCCCTATAATCTGTACTTGATCTAGGTCTACAATCAGTGCTACTACGTGGATTATCTGAAAGATCAGCAGAAGTGATCGATCCATTTCTAGAATGTGAAGATTTCTCTACAGCTGAGATAAACTTTTTCAGATGCTTAATATACTCTGGATAAAGCTCCAGATCACAATGGTTGCCACCCTTCACCCATAATGGTTCATACTTCTCTTTACATTGTTGCCATAGCTGTTGTCCATGGGAGCAATCCACAACATCATCTGCAGTTCCCTGGCAATATCGCAAAAAATACATGTAAGAGCTTGTATCATGCAATATTCAAACATGTCAAAGAGAAAATGCAATACTCATCAAACAAAAGCAGTGATCATCCCGAATCACTGGACCCAAACAACAATGACTAAAGGGGAGTTGAATCAAGTTACAATAGTAAATCAGCAAGATTCACCCTGGTCCTGACCCGGGCAACAATAACCAGACCGAATAACAGAGACTCCCTTGCTTCGGACAAAAACAAAATTCAACCAACTTGTAGAAATTGCGCCAGCACCTAACGGATTGACAAATCATACAAAGGCGACTTATTTTTGCATAACATTTTCAAGTGAAGGTAACACTGTTACAAATTCCAGATCAATGAAAGGCAAACTATTTAAGATTAATTGAAAGGAGTCAGAAATCGCAGAAGAGAGATCCTAGTGGGTAAATTACAAGGGCCCAAGAGAGCAATAAAATTAAGGATAAATTTAATGATTTGACACTTTAATTATAAAAGGATCAGTAAAAAAGCAGCATTTTGCTCATGTCTGAACTATGTTAAATTGGGAAAGGAACCCAGAACATTCAATAGGTTACAAAGCACAACATCGCAATCCCAGACTAGCACCATATCGAAATGCATCTAAGACTAAAGAAGAATTTGATAGAGAATTTTGTTTTCTTTGATTAAACATCTAAATTCTGCTTATTCCTAACCCTAAGATGATTTTGTCAAGTAAAATTGAATGGTGAGGTGGCCCTCATGTCTAGTATAACGTAATTGCTATATAATAGTTACAATCATTTAAGAGATTATATTGCTCAGCAGTAATAAAGTTAAACAGCAACCCTAAAAGATGGGGGCTACTCACAAGTGCCATGTCAAGGAAATCATCAACATACTACACAAAAAGTTATGTCCACATCTGTTTATTTTGACTGAGGGAATCCAACAAAAAGCGAGAGAGAGAAAATAAAACTACACTCCACCTAACAGCAGATGAATAGATAAACTTACATGGATTATCAAAACAGGACACTGAACCAACGGTATTTTGTCAATATTCTGCATTTCAAATAAAAACAAACGAAGGAAATTAAAACCTTATTGGAAGGTAACAAAAAATTAAATTGCATACTAAAAGCAATAGGAGTAGGACTTTGAAGCCCCTTAAATTTAGTATTCAAGTAAAGGCCGGTACCTTATAAATGTCAAACCAGTAAGTACGCTTGACTGGGTACATAACACGAAGCCCGGACATAATCGGACTGTGAAGAACAACAGCCCTTAAGCGTGGTAATCTCGATGCTAAATCCACAGTAGGTCCGCTCCCTACAGATTGTCCATATAATATAATATCTTCTTCCTTCGTCCCATATTTTTCTAGAAGACATCTATAAGCAGCTTCTATGTCGGCATAAGTATTGTGCTCAGTTGGCTATGACAAGCAAAACAAACATCTAATAAATTAGCTTGGCATCCCAGAAACTGTTTCATAGGTATTGATTAATTTAAAGTGCCCACACCATACCTTTCCAGTAGACCGTCCATATCCAGAATAGTCATACCTGCCCCAAAAAGTTAAGACGAAAAGCAAATCCCTTTAATGGTGAACTCACTGTGGATTACACACTTCAACAAATGCACTACCAACTAGTTATATAAATCAACAACCAATCTCACTCATTAATACATCAAACTTTTACAAAATCATTAGTTCTCTACAAAAAAAAATGATCCTCAACTGGTCATTTCATGAACCAGGTAGCCAAATCTAAAGCATTAACATCATAGTTTACATAAAAAATGCAATCTTTACAGTTTAAACATGTATGATGCATAATACTAAAAACAGATTAGTGTAGGGGAAAAAAAAAGTACCCCATCAAGTTGACACGCAAATGAAGGCTGAGTTCGCTGAAAAGGTCATACATCTGTCCCAGATCAGCGGCATTCCCGTGCGAGTAGAGCAAGGTAAGGGTGGCCGCCGGATTGCGTACGTACACCGCCACAATCTGAGTGCCCCTCTTGGTCGGCAGCCTCAGGACATCAACGTTGTCCCTCTCCGCCACTTCCATCATCCTCAACTTCCCCGTCCCTTCCACTTCCTCCACCCCATACGACGGCGGACTGGGCGGAAAAAACGCAAACTTTGCAGCCATAGACGACGTCACCGCCCCCATCCCCAACCTCCCACCGCCTCTCCGAACACCGGCAAAATCTCAGATGGGACTACAGCTTAAGCTGGCTATAAATAATTAATTAAATTAATAGCATAAACTGAAAAGGGAATTTGAACTTGTGATGGAGCTCCATGGTGGATGTATATGGGTTTTTAAAAAATTCAAAGCTGGATTAGATTCGTGGATATATACGCAGAAGATTAAATTAATATTTCCCGAACCAATCTGTTCCCTGTTTTATTGAATAAGGGAACCCCAAAAAAATGATAATTAATGCAAAAATGTTTTTGAACGGAGGTGGGAAGGAGGAAGGAAACGGGGAGGGAATTCCGCCGTTAAAAGGGAAGCTAAGCACGTGCGATAAATTACTGTGTTAATGGGAGGATAAAAAAAAAACTGATAAAAGGTCTTGTAGAAGAAAAAAGGTTGGTGACGATGCAGGAGATGCTGACACGTGGATAAGTTGGGCCCCGTACGGAACTGTTAAATTTTATTTTTTTTTGGGGGTTCGGACAGGGGACTTTGGTAGTATTGAGAAAAAAAATGATGTAGGAGTTGAAAAGGTTGGATTGTGACAGTTTAACGGCATCATAGGATGAGTTTTGTCGGAAAATGGTGGAGGTCGACGACGTTATGAAGCGGGGGTCTCCGTCGTGAGCATTCTTTTTATCTTTCTTTTTCTTTTTTCTTTTTTTTTGGCTATTTTGTGTTTTGTCTGTTTTGAATTTGTTGTTCAATGATTCAATGTTTGGTGTCGTGATGCAATTTGCATTTTGGGACTGTCAATGGCATTTCAATCTGTTCTACAGCGTTGCCAGCTCAATCAATAATCGTTTGCTTTTGGTCAAACCAAATTACCTTGCTTCAGTATTAGTACTAAACTGAGTTGTTTCTATTATCTTAGATGTATTTTGTCTCTTTTTACTCATTTTCCTTGCAGTGAAAAAAATGAAAAACATGTTTTCTAAAATGTAAAATTATGTTTTAGAATTTAATATTCACTGTTGTTTGTATTGAGATTGAACCAGAACATAAAACCAAAAAAAAAATAAAAAAATTGAAGACCAAACGACACAAAAAAAAAAAAAAGATTTTAAAATGTGACACTATAACTTCTTAAATTCATGAATTATCATCATTCCTAAAATTGTCTATATTAAGTTTTGATATTTACAATAAAATTTCCCTAAATTAATCATCTATTAATTAATAATCTCTATCAAATAATATTTTTCGCCTGTTTCAACTCGGGACCAATACAAAAAATGAAAAAAACAAACTCAATTAATTTATAAACTAATAATTTTTCAAAAATCTCTTATGTAAATATAAATCCTCATAATTTCATAAATGAATAAATATCTAAAATAATGAATTAGATTTGAAGATTAACCTAAATTTGAACTTAAGTATTTTTAGTTATGTTTGCAATTATTATTTTTTGTTTCATTAAAAAAATTATAATGTTATGGTTAGGGTTGCAACGGGCTTTTCTTAATATAAAAAAAATAATTTTACTTATAGGATTGAAAAATCTCTTTAAATTGATATATTATTAATTTATTAATAAAGATTAATTTATCGATAGATTAATAACTCGATAAATTAATAAATTTTTGGAGGTCCATGTATTAATTTATAGAGGTTTTACTCTATATTATTTTTTAGTACAAAACTCATTACTATAAACTATTTTTTTAGACAAAAAATACAATTTAATATTTTAAATTTTTAGAGATTAACCAATACTAATCCTACGGGATAAGATGCTCCAGTCAAAGAGACTGCAGAATGATTTTGGGCCCAATTAGTCAAAGTGATCATCAACCCCACCCTAATTATTGGATAAGTTGGATCTCAATTTGAAGTTCATTTCATGCGGGTAAGTATGAGCTCAGTTTATCAGTTAGTACTTTTTCTCCACATGTACTAATAATATTCAAATTGTTAAAATAGTTGGTTTCTTTTAATGAACTTGAATATACATTTTTGTGATTAAAGGAAAAAAAATACACAAAAAAGTACATATAAGAAAATACAAACCTATGTCTTATGTAGCTCGTAGATCATAGTGTTTGTGCCAAAAAAAACACTTTCACCGTGGAAAAGAAAAAGAAGGGTAAAAATCTCTCAAACATAAAATATTCAGATGATTATGGATGAGTTCGAAAACAAGCCTCAGACTCGTAATCGAGGACTTACGGTTTACTTTGGTTTGTAAAAGAATAAAAAAAGAGACAGTGGAACAAGCCAAGTAGCTCGATTTATATATAAAAGGAAAAAGATCTAGCGCCAACAGGGAACTCCCAAGTCGATGGCACGCTATTACAATGACTCAGATATTAGCGTCGACTAGACGTAGCCGATCACACGCTATGATATGGACCAGAGATACTAGCGCCAACACAGAAATCCATATCGATGACACGCTATTACAGAGATCGGACATGCAGAGGGTAGTCCGACATAAGTGGTAGTAGAACACCTATTACATGAGATTAAATTCAATGAAGTAGAATCCATAACAAACTACCTATTTCTATGAAGAGAAAACAGGCAAACACCTATCGGTTGCTAGGCTACATCAAAAAAGACATAAATAAAAATATAAACGGAAAAGGGACTAAAAAGAAAGAAAAGATAAAGGAAGCGACAGAGGCCTTTGATGTGTTGTTTATGTGATCGAGAGATGATGTTGATGATTGTCGCAACCTTGCTTAAATAGAGAGGATTAGGGCACATCTTTCTTGGAGAGAAAGGTAGGTCGGCCGCTTCTTGATTACTTGGAGGAAACGACTTCAACCCGGAGTATACTTCTTGTCATCTTCCCATATTAAACCGAATCCGACTGTGAATAGAATTAGCCTTCAAATCAAACTCCTTAATTATAAGAAATATCACATAATTACTCATATCGGCGGTTGATTGTATTCACACTCTCGGGTTCTTCCGACTTCCGACTTGGATTCACCGTCGATTTTCGAAACTTCTTATTTGTGGACCGATTCATATCACTTGTTGGGCCGACACTATTGACGAAATTAGTGTCAACATAAAACCCCCCGAGGCACAATGTATTTGGAATAAATGTTTTGTGCCTGTGTAATCAGAAGTCGGGCCAACAATGAATCGGCTCGTTCATAATAACTCCTGATGATGCTACGTCGAAGGGATGACATCGTGTCGGAGTTATGACTGTTGGAACTCTGTCGGCTGGAACACCTACAGTGGCTAGCCCCCGGAGACTCGAGAAAAAAGTAGACTCTTTTTTTTTTTAATTTTCGGAAAAAAAAGGACTCCCACGATGTAAAAAAATCAAACCAAAATCTGTCCCACTGGGCGTGCCATTATGTTTGTGCCGAAAAAATCACCTTCAACTGTGGGAAAGAAAAAAAAGGGTAAAAATCTCTGAAACATGAAATATTCAGACGATTGTGGATGAGTTCGAAAACAAGCATCGGACTCGGAATCGAGAACTTACAGTTTACTTTGGTTTGTAAACGAATAAAAAGAAAGAGATAGTGGAACAAGCCAAGTAGCTCGATTTATATATAAAAGGAAAAAGACCTAGCGCCGACAGGGAACTCCCAAGTCGATGGCATGCTATTACAACGGCTCAGATATTAGCGCCGACTAGATGTAGCCGATGACACGCTATGACACGGACCAGAGACACTAGCGCCGACACAGAAATCCATATCGATGACACAGTATTACAGAGATCGGACGTGCAGAGGGTAGTCCGACATAAATTCTAGAACACCTATTACATGAGATTGAATTCATTGAAGTAGAATCCATAACAAACTACATATTTCTATGAAAGGAAAACAGGCAAACACATATCGAATGCTAGGCTACATCGAAAAAGACATAAATAAAGATATGAACGGACTAGGGACTAAAAAGAAAGAAAAAACAAAGGAGACGTCGAATGTCTTTGATGTGTTGTTTATGTGATAGAGAGATGATGTTGATGATCCTCGCAACCTTGTTTAAATAGAGAGGATTAGGGTGCAGCTTTCTTGGAGAGAAAGATAGGTCAGCTGCTTCTTGATTTCTTGGAGGAAAAAACTTCAACCCGGAGTAGTCTTCTTGTCACATTTCCGTATTAAATCGAATCCGACTATGAATAAAATTAGCCTTCAAATCAAACTCCTTAATTATAAAAAATATCCCATAATTACTCATGTCGGCGGTTGATTGTATTTACTTTCTTGAGTTCTTCCGACTTCCGACTTGAACACAATGTTGATTTTCGAGACTTTTTATTTGCGAGCCGATTCATATCATTTGTTTGGCTGACACAATTGACAATATTGGTGTCAACACATAGCTAACTCCTATCATGGTCGTCATCATCATCATCTGTTCATTGATCCAATTCTAATTAACCTTGAACTTGACGTGCTTAAATCGATAGCCTCATGAGATTGAGCCGGATTCAATGACTTTGTGGACTTTTTACCAGAAAATCAACCAAAGATTGCATCAATTAGGAAGGCGGTACAACTTGCGAAGGATGCAACTAGCATCGAATTACTTGGGAGTCATTAAGGATGAATTTGTTCTTTGATTCTCGCGGACTGGAATGTACTTATTAGTTAAATTCTTAGAGATGTTAATCAAGTAGCGGATATGATAATTAAATTAGGACATACAACCAATAAGTATGCATCTTTGGTAAATTCACCTCAAGGGTGTGTAGAATTGATGTGTAGAGATTAGGACTTGTCTTAGAAGCAAAAGACAGTCTTTCTTTTTTTATTCCTAAGCACTCCATTTGGCCTTTAATATAAGCCATTTTAATTTGTCATATATTTAATCTAATATATATCTTTAATTGATAAAAAACTTTAAAAATATTTCATAATAATTAAGAGAATACAACGAATATGAAAATATATTTTTAAATTTTTTTTCTGACAATTAAAAATACATATTTGGTGAAACATTAGACAAAATTAAAATGTCTTATATTACCTCCATCTCAAAAAAAATAGACTACATTGAATTTTCAAATTTATATTAAAAACAGTACAAAACTTAAAACTCAATATGAACTATTTTTGTGGGACGAAGGGAGTATTAGGGACGGTAGGAGTATATATATATAGGATTGCATCAATTAGACACTACGCATATAATAGAAGTATTGTCTATAGTTGACATGGATAACATAGGTACAAACGTAATGAATATCTCATACTCAATTTGGTAACTGAAACTTTCCCCACCAGACCCTATATATGTTTATGAACTTTCCTTTTCCAAATTCCACAAAACTTCCCAAATGGCGAAAACCGCCCAGTTTTCGTCACACTACAGTCTCCATTTTCTTGAATTTGGTTTTTTGGGCATGTCCTGGAGCAATAACATTAGCTGTTGATTCTTAGAGGTTTTTTTTTTTTTTCCAAAAAGTTTTTTTTTTTATGAGAAGGAGTCGGAAACTTTGTTCGGACCTCCATCCCACGGTACTGATCAACACCATCATCACAATTGATCGGTTGTCAAACGTGAAGAAGAAAAAAAAACAATAGCCGGCTAGATATGTAGAGTTATCTGCCCATTTTGTTTTTGTATACTCCCTTGCAAACTTGCAGCACGTGGAAGGTAAGAAAGAATCGTACTAACGAAAGTAATGAAATAACAAAATGTAAAGATTGTAAGAGCATAAACATATATTAGATGCTTGCCCCGGGTGAATGTCTGGGGTGTCGCCTGTATTTTTAAA